ATAATTAATGATATTAATAGACTAGATTGAACTATAAGTCTTAATTTGTTTTTAAAAGTAAATTTTAATATTTTTAATTTAGATTTAAATTTGTAAAAAAATATAGAATTGAGTATTATGTTTATATAGATATATAATAATAATAATAAAAATAAATAATAGATTTGAAATTTGTATGAAGATAAAAATTCTATATCATTTTAAATAGAAGAATGAGAAGGGAGGTATGCCTGCAATATTACATATAATAATAATTATTGTAAAATTATAGAGTTTATTAAGATTAATTAATGAGTATCTAAAATTAAATAAGATTTTGTAAAAAAATATAAAGATAAATAAAATAAATAAAATGATTGAATAAAATATAAAATATTTTAGTCAAATTAAAGATTTTAAGTATGTTAATATAATTATTCATATAGATTGATTTACTGAAGAGTATCTAAGAAGTATTTTAAAATTATATAAATTAAATATTATATAGGGAGGGATGATAGAACATAATAATAAAATTAAATAAATTAATAAAGTATGAATTTTTATAAGAGAAATTATGTAAAAGGATATAATTTTTTGAATAGTTAATAGAATAAATAAAATATTTCAAGATAAGTATTTGGAGATAATGGGGAGCCAAAGGTGGAATGGAGGAATTCTTAATTTTATAAGTAAGGCTATAATTATTATTATATTAATATAATTGTTATATATAAAAATGTTATTTAAAATAGTACGAATAATAATAAGAAAAGATGCAATGATTTGAATTATAAAGTAAAAAAAATTAATTTTTTATTTTTTAAATTTAAGTTTATTAAACAAATAAATAAAAAATTAGTAATTTCTATAAAGAATCAAATTATGATGAAATCGATGAATCTTAAGGCTAAGAAAGAAAAAATAAGTAAATTTATAACAATAAAATATTTAGTAAATAAATTATATATTATAATAAAATATTAAATTAATTAAAATTAATTTAAAATATTAATATTAAATTAATTTTTATTATATTTTAATGTAAGAAACATAACAATTTTTGAAATTTTTTGTAATAGTTTAATTCTATTAAATATAATAATGAAAGTATTTAAAAGCATACATAATTTATTTTATCAAAATAACCCTTTTGTCAGGCATATCATTTGTAAGATTAATAAATAAGAGATGAGTAAATCTATAATTAGGGTATGAACCTAGTAGCTTTTTTAGCTTACTTATTTAGGTATGATTTATAAAAAATAATTAAATTTGATTATTTAATATATGTTTAAATAAAAATTTAAAGATAAATAAATAATTTTATTAATATAATAAAAGTAATTAATTATTATTTAAGAAATTAAATATAATATTAAATTTTAGTTTATAAAAAATATTTTATTTACATTAAAAAGATTTTAAGTTTAAAAATAATTAAAAAATTTATGTATGAGATGAAATTATTACATAATAAATGTAATTATTATTTAATTTATTTTATAAAATATAATAAATAAAAAAAATTAAATAATAGAATTATAAGAATAATTATGATGATCAAAAATTTTATATATAAAATCTGGCATTTCTTTTTTTAAAAAAATTAAAATAATTAATTTTCGGGAAAATGAAACTAATTTTCGGGAAAATGAAATAAGAAATTGAATAATACATTAAATAAAAATTAAATAATTATTTTAAATTACTTAATAAATTTATATTTTTTGTAAAATTATAGGTTAAAAATATCATTCAAATTAAACTAATTATTTAAATAGATATAAAAAATTAAGTTTGAATAGTTATAAAGAATAACTTAAATCAAAAATTTATTGAATAAAAAATGTTTTAATATAAATATAAATATAGAGTATGGGATAATTATTTTTTTAGGTATGTATTATTATTATTATTTACTAATATATATTTATATGTATATATGATGTGTATAATTTTAAATATTGTAATTTTGTTAGTTATTTTTATACGAGGTCTTTTACCTCAAATATGATATGATGAATTAATATATTTATGTTAAAAAATTATTTTACCGTTGGTATTAAATTATATAATTTTAATTATAAATTTAAAAATTATATTTATAGTAATGATTTATGAAAAAATTAATAGAAAGATGAATTTCTTTTTTATATTTTCAAAATATAAGTATTCTTATAACAAGATCATTAATTATATTTTTAAAAGTTAAATATAAAAAATTTTTTTTCAATAATAATGACATCAGGGGAGAATAAGAAAGTATAAGAAATAGGAAAAGGAGAAAGTTTGTCTAATTGAAATATAGAGATTTTCAATAATTTGGGCCCCTGCTCAAGTTAAAATAATAAAGTTATTAATGAATAATCAGTATATTAATTGGGAGAAAGGTCTTCAAGATATGTGTCAGGGAGTAATGAGAGGGAGAGTATAAAGGATTAAAATAGAGGCTAAAAGAGCTAAAACCCCACCAAGTTTATTAGGAATTGATCGTAAGATTGCATAAGCAAATAAAAAATATCATTCACGTTGAATATGAATGGGTGTAACTATAGGGTTAGCTGGAATAAAGTTATCCGGGTCGCTGAAAATATAGGGGTATTGAAAGATTAAAATTGAAAAAATTTATAGGAATAATACAAAACCTAGTATATCTTTATATGAGAAATAAATATGAAAGGGAATTTTATAAGAGTTACTGTTGATTCCTAATGGGTTAGAAGAACCAGTTATATGAAGAAAATATAAATGTATAATTACTATTATTAGGATAATAAATGGGAGAATAAAATGTAATGAGTAAAATCAATTTAACGTAGCATTATTAATTGAGAATCCTCCTCAAATTCATATCACGATTATTTGTCCTATATAGGGGATAGTAGATACTAAATTTGTAATAACGGTAGCTCCTCAGTAAGATATTTGTCCTCAAGGGAGAACATATCCTAAAAAGGCTGTTGCTATAGAAATTAAAAAGATTCTTACTCCGATTATTCAAGTATGGATTAATTTGAAAGAGTTATAATAAATTCCTCGTGCAATATGAGTGTATATACAAATAAAAAAACAAGAAGCTCCATTGATATGAATATTATGTATTAGTCAGCCATTAGAAATATTTTGTATGATATGGATAATTCTTAAGAATGCGAATTGATTATTAGGACAGTAATGTAAAGATAGAAAAAATCCTCTAATGATTTGAATAAATAAGAATATTCCTAATAAGGAACCAAAGTTTCATCAATATGAAATATTATGGGGGATAGAAAGTTTTAGTAGAGATTTTTTTATTATATTGACAATTTTATTCATATTTGATTAAGAAATTTTTTGTAGAGAGGATGATTTAATTATACATATTTTAATAATAATAAATATAGCGATTAGTAAAAAGAATATACATAAGAAAGTAAAATTATTATAGGGATAAGAGTAAATTATGAAAAGATTTTTAAATATTTCTTGATTGAAAGTTGAGATAAATTGTGTTTCTAAAAATAAGAAGAGGGGTGAATTATAATTAAAGTTAATAAATTTTAAGTAAAAGAATAGGATTAGATTAATTATAAAATTAATTAATATTATAAAATTAATAGATAATTTGTTTTGTATATTAGTGATTAAGGCTTGAGAAATAAAGAAAAATAATTAATAGACCTCTAATTATAATTAAAATTAGTAAAATAGAGTATATGGGATTAGATTGTCAAAGTGATATTAAAATACATACTAGTAAAGTATTTAATAAGATTATTAAAATTATAAGGATAGGGTGGGCTTGATGGACATTGATAAGTAAGTGTAAAATTAAAAATAATAGTATTAGTAGAGAGATATGAAGGAAGAATAATTTTGGCATAGATCATGTTTGTTTAATAAAAAGTTAAGATCTATATAAATTAAATTAGATTTAATTTTAGTTATTGATAAAAGTTTTAAATTAAAAGTGATGTATAAATGTATGAATATTAGTTATTATATAGGGAATAATAGTTAAATAAAGTTTTGAAGATTAGTTTAAGTAGATAACAAAATATAGTTTATGAAGAATTTTAATTTTGGAGATTAAAGGTATAATAAATTAAATTATTTTTTTGATAGTTTTAAAATTTTAAATTTATTTTTAATTTACAAGATTAATATTTTATTTTTAAATTATAAAACTAATTTTGTTAGATTTAATATTAATGAGAATTCAAGTTGTAATAGTTTATTTTGTTTTATTGTTTTATACATATAAATATATGTTAATTATTTTGATATTGATTGAATTAGTGGTTGTTAATGTATCTTTAGTAATGTATTTTTTTTTTAAGGGTATTTAATATGGAATTTTATTTAATTTATTATTTAATTTTTAGGGTTTGTGAAGGAGTTTTAGGGTTAGGTTTGATAGTTCAGATTATTCGATATTATGGAAGAGATTTATATTATAGATTAAATATTAGAAAGTTTTAGTAAAATTTGTAAGAAAAAATTTTAATAATATGATAAAATTTATATTTGTGATTATTTGTATAAATTTTATGTTAAGAAAAAATAAAATAGTTATATTTTATTATAATATTTGTTATTTGTTAAGATGAATAATAATTTTTATATACATATATTATGAGATTAATGTAATTTTAATTTTTAAATATTTGGGGATAAATTATTATTCTATCTGATTAATTATAATAAGGTTTTGAGTAGTAGGATTAATATTAATGTGTTTATTAAAAGAAAGGGGTATAAAAGTTATAATTTTTATTAATTTATTATTTGTATTGTTAGTATTTTTTTTATCCTTGGATTTATTAGTATTTTATTTTATATTTGAAGTAAGTTTAATTCCTACTTTTATATTAATTGTTTACTGGAGGAGTAATCCTGAGCGGTTAGTATCTTCATATTACTTAATAATTTATATATTGTTGATTTCTTTTCCATTATTACTTTATATTTTTAAATTTTATTTTTATAGATTAACTTTTAAGTTTGTTTTAATAAAAATTTTAATAGGAAGGGTAATGTTTAGATTGGGAGGATTTTTGATAATTTTTATGGCTTTTTATATTAAAATATTAATTTATTTAATACATATTTGATTGCCCAAAGCTCATGTGGAAGCTCCTGTTTATGGATCTATAATTTTAGCAGGGGTTTTATTAAAAATGGATAGGTATGGATTAATTCGATTTTTAAAAGTATTTATTAAGATAAGATTAAAGTATAATTATATAATTGTTAGGATTGGGATTGTAGGGGGCGTATTAATGAGTTTAGTTTGTATGATTCAAGTAGATATAAAAAGATTGGTTGCTTATTCTTCTGTAGTTCATATGAATATAATATTGTGTGGCATATTAACATTATTTAAGTTAGGATTTTTAAGAGGGTATATTATAATGATTTCTCATAGATTATGTTCATCGGGTTTATTTTACATGGTGAATTTATATTATGAGCGAACATTTAGACGATTATTATTTATAAATAAAGGAATGATAAGAAGAATACCAAGAATGAGGGCATTGTGATTTTTATTATGTGTAATTAATTTTTCATTTCCTTTTTCTTTGGGATTTTTTAGAGAAATATTAATATTAAGAGTGGTTTTAAATTGAGATTTAATGTTAATAATTTTTTTGGTTTTAATTTGTTTTTTTAGGAGGGCTTATTCATTGTATTTATTTTCTTATATTCAACATGGAGGTACATATTTAGAAAATAAGTTTAATTTAGGTGTGATAAAAGAGTATGTTGTCGTGATATTACATATGTTACCATTAATTTTAATTTTAATAAATTTATTAATATTTATATATTTAAGTAGTTTAAGATAAAACATTAATTTGTGGAATTAAAATTATATTAAAAATATCTTAAATTATTTTAAATATCTTTGTTTTTTATTATTTAATATTTTTTATATTTAATTTTTTATTTATATTAAGATTAATAATAAATTGTTTTGATTTTATAGTTATAATAGAATGGATAATAATAAGAATCAATTCAGTGAATATGGAGATCTTTATCTTTGTTGATTGAATTTCATTATTATTTATTAGTTTTATTTTTTTAATTTCTTCAATAATTATGGTGTATAGGTATATATATATATATGAAGAAAAATTTATTGAACAATTTATTTATTTAGTGGTTTTATTTATTATGTCTATGATTTTAATAATTCTTTTTCCTAATATTATTAGGATTTTATTTGGTTGGGATGGCTTATGGCTCCTGCACACAGGACGCGGCAGCGCGGCATTGCGGCAACGCGGCACCGCGGTAACCAATTACCGTCTTGCCTTTCCGTTCTACTTTTGAAAGTAGTACGGAAAGGCAGATGGTGATTGGTTACCGCGGTGCCGCCTTGCCGCAATGCCGCGCTGCCGCGTCCTGTGTGCAGGAGCCATTAGGTTTATAAGATATTTTAACCCTATTCACTCCAACGTTTTTTTCACCACAATAATCCTCCAACCATGCACTTTCGAGTCCCACGTGTTTTTTATAATGTTAATAGCTTTGAAAAATTCCCTAAAAATTTTTATAATATCTTTGTACCTTCGACTAAAAATCAATGTAAAGAACATTTGAAAATCATTTACTTAAATATTTTTTTATAACAATTATATGTTGACAAACACACGTTACGACTCGTTTTACTTAAAAAATCATAACTCACAAACAAATTGACGAAGCTTAATGAACCAAAACGCAAATTAAAGCTAAAAGTAGTGCAAATGAGAAAAAAAATATAAGATAATTATTAATTAAATAGGAATACTTAATTTCGTCGCCGCAAATTTGGTAATTTTTAAATGGTACAGAAGAACTTTAAGGACTTAAAGAATGCTAGAAAAAGAATTTCTGAATAAGAAAAGGCGAATTTGAAGTGTGACAGATATTTTTTATGTAAAAAAATTAATTTTTTTTATATAATCGTAGCTCCTCTCCACCTCTTCCACTTGCCTCTGAGCCATAATAGACCTCTGTGGAATGTTAAATTTTTTTTTTAACGACAAAAATATTTTAAATACGGTTAAATTATACACAAAAATACATTTTTATCGAAAAAAATGCTCATTTACCTTTCACACAACACTGACGTAATCCTCCAACCATGCACTTTCGTGTCCCACCAAGATTTTGATTGTTCCCCGTTTCGAGAGTAAATGAGCTAGGACTTTGAAATTTTTACCTGAGGTTCCCTGCCACAATAACTTTTTTCCCGCGTGGAGGGGATTCTCCCACGATCGTTTGTTTTCCGGAACAAACAACTGTTAGAAATTCGTGGGACACGAAAGGCATGGTTGGAGCGAATAGGGTTAAAAAGTATTCCATCTGAAGAGTAAATCGAACGACAAGCAAATAATCCTATTCAGATTTATGAAGAGCCCAATGGTGCTGGATTACAGACAATAATTGTGAAATTATCAGACAAAACTGTTAAAGAATGGAATAAAAGAAGCACTTACTACAATTTATGCAGAAAAAACTGTAGATCACATTTTAACAGAACACGCTTATGCTCGAGCGGTGCAAGCTCACACCTTACTACAATTAGTTAGCCTATATTGTCTCTTTATTAATTAAATAAAATTATGTATTTACCAGTATTTACATATCTTTTTTTGCTGAGTTGTAGTGCCCGCGTAATGGCGGCCAACATGGCGGCCGACGTCTGCTCAGTAGAGATCAAACGTGATTGGCTCTTACTTTTAAAACCAATCAATTGACATAGAGGGTTGTCTCAACAGTTGTGTCTGCTGAAAGCGGCCATAATTCTTTCTCCATTATGCATCCTAAAGTTGCTAGTGACATTTTTCCCTCCTGGAAATTACTAAATGGCTGCTCACTGCTGCTGCATTCTTGATTAAGGTTAAGGTAGTCCTTTCGCATATTCAAGTAAACAGTCCGTCATAAGGTAATTGAAAACATATTGCAACATCCCAATAATTATATTAAGTTGGCCAATAAGTCCGTGCGATTTTTTACTTATAAATGTTACTTATAAATAACTGCAAGACTATTGGCTAACCTAATATTATTCCTTATTTTTCTCATTGTGTCCGAGCTCTAATACTTTTATTATAATGTTTATTATAGCCTTTTATACATAAAATAATAAAAGAAATTGTAAAAAAAACATAAAAAATTAATTTAAAAAATTAGATTGCATTTTGTAGAAGCATTTAATTTTACAAAATTACACAATATGTATAAATATTTACTTTTTATTTTTAAATTATTATTTTTTATTATATTATAGTATATAACTAATTAAAATAATATGTGTTTATGTCAATTAAAATTTAAAGATTTTTACAAAATTATTTATAAATTTAAAACATGAAAAAATAAAAAAAAAATTAGAATTTTGTACATTGCTTTCTCATCATTTTTAAGTGTGTAAATTAGGAATTTGCCAAAAGCATATCCCTACGCGCATGTGTGTATATGTGTATATAATGTACCTTACAAATCCATTATTTGTTCCAGCGAGCAGGTACTTAAACTCTTGAATGATGGATCCGCTTATTACTGCTTCTGTATGGAAAAAAGGCTGGAATTATTGAGGAAAGAGGTGATCAAGTGTGGACAAGTACCCAAGTACAACAGGTGTCGGCATCTTGCTAAGGATAAAATTAAGGAAATGCTCCTGAAGGACTCGACTTATTGTATTACATTTAAAGTATGTCTCTTCTCTACGCCTAAACATATTATGCTTTATAAGTAAGTATATAAGTAGTTTAACTTGAGATAATTAAATCTGGTATAAAATTCTTATAATTAGCTGTATTATAAATTTTATCTATTACAGAACACTTGGCTGGGATCCTCCCATATATGGACACCTTTAATATTGAATGCAGATGGATCCAAGTTGTCGAAAAGACAAGGTGATATAAAGGTCGAGTCATTTAGGAAACAGGGTATTTTTTCATTAGCGTTGTTGAATTACGTGATAGGGGCTGGTGGTGGTTTTCACGGAGAACGGCAGAGCCAAGATCTTTGTGGGCATTTAGAAAAGATTGGCAGAATGAATGGTACGTATCTTGATGCTGAGTTTATGTCTCTTTATGTATATAACTTAATTAAGGAAACTTGAAAGTATATATATTTAATAATATATGAAATTTATTTACAGTAAAGGTGAGAAATATATGGATTACGGTATACGTAGCAATTCACAACGTCGTTTTGTGTGGCATTCTCACCTTTTGAAGCCTATAGAAAAAGATTTGCATCCTGAATGGATATTGTACATATGTGATACACGGCTTTATTGGTCAGTCAAATGTGAGCATTTTTGGAAGATCTATGTATGTCACCGTTATTGCCCGAAGAAGTAACAAATATGCGGGAACACGTTTTTTGAAACGCGGTCGACGTATGTCCAGATGCATTATAAATACAAATATTAATGCCCAATTCACGGTGACTTTCACAATGATATATTCATATGTGTGTTTCTGGTTGGCCTCCAATGTATACAGGCGAAAATGACGATTAAGATAGCGATGCAGTCTGGACGTTCAAATAATTTTATATAATTTCCAATAATTCGATGAAAATTACTCCTTCCACGAATTTCGACGAATACCATTTCATGTCGCGTAATTTTAAACCTTTTTGATATTATAATCAATTTGTATAAATTTCAGATGCCATAGTATGCATCAGTTAATAATATCGCACTTAATGAATGATTTTAAATCACCATCGCATGCATATAAATAGCTCGCGAAAACAGCTGTTTATATTAAATTATATCGTTATTAACAATCTTTTATCGTTGTGCGTTGATATATAAGCACCCGATATATAAGCACTCGTGAACTCGATTTTCAGTGAAAAATCGCGAATAAACGCGGCGTTCATAATCTGGCGAAGTCTCATAATCTGAGATCAGAAAATCTTTTGTCGTTCACCAGACGAGGGAACATTCAGATAACAGTTCTTTGTAACGGTCGCAGCATTTTGCGAAAATAACGATAATTTGCAACCGATACGGCGCAGAAAGCGCGTATAAAGGAGATTCCAAAAGTATCAATAAAAATAATGTTAACCGGAAGGCAAAGAATCATAAAGTCTTTTTTAGCTCAAACGGTTGAATCTTAGTAAGATTATCTTACCGAGACTTTATTTAAGATATTTAAGTACAAATATTTAAAAGCGGTCTTTTCCGTAAAACACTGACAGAGGAGACTAGACAAAGAACTTATTTGTTCTACGTTTTAGGGTGAAAAAATATTGTCGATGAAAACAGCGGGTGTTTCGAATGGAAGACACGACGGGGAAATTAAATGCGGAAATAAAAATAAATATAGAATTATCAAAGGCTCGATTTAGTTGAAGATTAAATTCTGGGCGTCATCCTGTTTTCACAGTATTCCAGCTGGAAGTAATGTGACATTTTTATTAAATGGAATGAAACAAATATTAATAAATTGATTTTATTCTGTGATTGTAAGATACATATAGAATTCTTATTCATTTAAAATATTTTTAGGGGCGCATTTTAATCAACTGTTGAAAAGATATGGATCACCAATAATTATATTAAATTTAGTAAAAAAAACGGGAGAAAAAGA